CAAAGTGGCACTGCCCCCTAGAGGGTCAATTTGTTACTACATACTCTGTCTAGAAGCCTGATATTTACGGACAAGCTTTAGCAGATCGTCCCCCAGACACTCTCGTTAAAAACATAAAAGACCTCTATAGACGTCTTTGGCAGCCAATGAGTTAATCAGACTCAGAGAATAAATACAACAGAAACAATTAATCTGGCTGATCCAGGACAGGGGGGGGACCACTGGTTTACAGCATCCTCTGCTGTTCAATACTTCCTTATTCTTTGTCCGTAACCCAAAAATGGAGTCGGACACCTGTGGGAATATAGTAATGAACGTGAATCCACTGTGAAAATCACATCATATGAATTTGCATTCTTTGTAAGTGGGCAAACCTGCAAAATCAGCAAGGGGCCAAATACCTATTTCTCCCACTGTACCTCCTTATTCTCTGTCTTTAACCCCCCCCCAGGTTGAGCGTGGAGCTGCCCAGCCTGGGCGTCCTCCGGTCGGAGCTGCTGTGGCTCCAGCAGAACCTTTCGGTTCTCGGTTCCCCGGTGGTTCTCTGCCACAACGACCTGCTCTGCAAGAACATCATCTACCACCAGCGGGAGGGTGAGTGGGGCCTGTTACTGATGGGGGGGGGGGGGGGTTAGCTCTCCCAGATAGGGGGGGCGTGTGCTGGTGTTTTCCCGATTCCAGCTCTGCTAACTCGTTCAGAAATGTGTATCAGGATCAGAAATACTTTAATAATCCCAGAGGGAAATTATTTTTTTTTGTTACTGGCTCCATAAATAAAACAGCGGCATATACATGTATACATGTCTGTACAAATATATATATACAAAATTTCCATATGATATCGATAGATATATACATAAATAAAAAAGACTATATGTATATATATATAGGTCAAAATAAGTGGTGGAAAAAAAAAAGAGGGAGTAGGGTTGTCACGATACTAAAATTTTCAACTGGATACCGATACTCAGGAAAATACTCAATACCATTTTCAATACCACAAGGATAAAAACAAAGACCCCAATATTTAACTGAATTTTGACAGGTTAGTGTCTTTGGTTTAAAACTGACCTGTTACTGATGTTATTGTGACTGGTGGACTGCATTAATAACCCTGACCCTGACCCTGACCCTAACCCTAACCCTACAGCCTTCATAATTGTGAGAAATAAATATTTTTTGGGTTAAACTTGTTTGGACTT